TGTTTGAAAAATACATGGAAATATTGGAGTCACAGGAACTTTTGTTTTTGAGTATATTATGAGCCAGCGGCCTGTTACTCAAGTACATTGTCTGTCTGTATCTATCGTTTCTTGGTCCTTTTATTGTCTGTAAATCCATATACTGATCTGTCTTCATTTGGTGTGATCTAAAACGGTAAAAACCTGTGTTTACTTTGAGTTGCCACTTCCAAAGGTTGTTGGCGGTGTAATTGACAGCAAATCGTGAACAATTAGCCTCACAGTGTCGCATGTAGCCTGTCAAATGTATTCATTAAATATATATGTTCAAGTTATTACCTAGTCGTATTTAAGTTTATCTTACCAAATTTCGTCTTTGAAAATTTGAAACGACTTTGTTTGTTGCAAACAGCAATATGTACTTTTTTTTACGTTTGGTTTTCGTTTGTTCGTGGCGTGAAGTAGGTAGGGGTGTCATGAACTTGAATAATTCCATCATGCAACGTTGAGACACAGGGAATATGAAACCTGTTATACAATGTGATTGTGTTGTTGGTTCCTGGTGGTGTTTGTCAAACCTTTTGTACAAAATACGACACTATTATATTGATCTGATAATGCATTGCTAGTTTGTGTACTCGTTTCCTAGGTTATAAAGATTGTGTGCGCCTGAATGATGTTTAAAGCTTAAAAGAAAATAGTCAAAATAGATTGGATCGATTTGGAATTCAATGGTGATGTATGGAATGCACCGTGTGTGTCGGGTGTAAAACATTTTGTTTCAATGATCCAGCAATGATTAATAGATTGTAACTGGCAGACTCTTCATGCTTCAGTGTTTGATTCTGGGAAACTGCGATATTAGTCCAAGTTAAAACTACTGTCTGTACTGAATATTAGATCACTGTGTTTAGGAGTAGAAAAATAAGACGGTATTGATGCTTATTACAGTTAAGTGAGTAACCATTACGATATAATACAGGAAGACGAGAGGGATTAGATTATTCTGTAAGAATTTGTAAACATTGTAATACTGGTGAAAATTTTATGAACACAAGAAGTACCACATGGTTAAAGAAACTTGTAACATTTATCAAAAAAAAGTTTATATTCTGAAAAATAATACAGTGTAATATTTGTCTCTTGTCACAATGTAAATCTATCTTACATATGATTATGTACTTGGGCCTCTTGCCCTATTACTATGAATAAACCATAAATAATAATGATTTGGAATAATTCTCGCAGGAGGATTAGTTTCAGTTCGCTTCTTTTCTAACAACAAACATTACATCACATCACATCACATTTCCAAGGTATGGAAGTCCTGACAGTGTTGCAAAGCAAGCCCGGAAATTGATTTCTGTTATTGAAGAGTGTTGTTATCACAGTGTAACTTGATAACTCTCAAACTGAAACTTAATCTCTATATTTTGAAAATAAATGTCCCAACTCCTACACCTACACGCTTTGAATAAGTTAGATCAAACAATTAAAAAAATAATGTGTAATGGGTTTTGGTGATTCTTATACATGTCAAACGCACATCCTTCAACCGTACCTATATCCCGTATGCTCCAATCCCACCACATTTCCCACCCCCACTCACATCCCTAATCCTCAAACCCCACCTCATCCCCAAACACACCTACATATATATTTGTATACTCCACCCCCAACCACATCATACATCCTCAAACCCCAACCACATCATGTATCCTCCAACCCTACCCACATTTCCCAACCTCCATCTCCTCCTCCATCCTCCATCCCACATCCCCCAATACCACCGCATCCCCCATCCTCCAACACCACCGCATCCTCCATCCTCCTTCCTCCATCCCTCAACCCAACCAACATCCAACATCCTCCAACCCCACCCACATCTATCATCCTCCAACCCCACCCACATCTATCATCCTCCAACCCCACCCACATCTATCAACCTCTAACCCCCACACACATCCGACATCCCCCATTCCCCAACCCCATCCACATCAAACATAATCCAACCCCTCAAACATGAGAGAGAGAGAGAGAGAGAGAGAGAGAGAGAGAGAGAGAGAGAGAGAGAGAGAGAGAGAGAGAGAGAGAGAGAGAGATGCGCATGTATACACACACAAACACTGGAATACACAGGGGAACAAATTCGTCATCAACAATTGACAACACGACTCTTGAGCATCGATTAGCAGTCGTTGACTAGACAGCTTAAACATTTCACAGGGCTAATCAACTGGATGGTTACTCGTAGTTGCGACATGTTTCGCAAAAATCGATAGAGCAGGAGTAGATGACACAGACTACGGGTAAATGAGAAGACAACAACTGAACGACATTGTGCAAAGTGACTCAAGAGTTTCAACGATACAGGGTACAAACAATTGTTTGGGACATACATCCTGATATCCTTTCTGTGGCAATTCACCAAGTACCTCAATGGACATATTAATAACCAGAACCGAGAATCATATGTGGTTTGTTCTTCAGATTAAGGAAACCTTGGAAATACAAGGAGATCGTCACAAGGTGAGACTTGTTTGTCACCTGTCTGTTATAACATTCAACAATAATATTCTTCAGTAATTCTTTGAAGTTTCTCTTCCTATAATGTCGGTGTGATGCTCCCAAAAGAATGGTTGCTTACTTAACTGCCCAGCCTTGTGGGTGCTGTATGCATACCTTAGGGGCCCCTGTAGAGGAATTCAAGCTTGGGATTGTCTCTATGTGTCTGTATGTTCATATGTCTGTGGAACCCCCGATTTGACAGTGGAACACCTGAAGTTGCCGATGCACTGAGGAAGTGTGAGACAAGACCTGTGAAGATCCGAGTTGGAATAGGTCGTCAGCAACCCGTGCTTGTCTATGATTATCGTAAGAGGCGACTAACGGGATCGGATGGTCAGGTTCGCTGACTTGGTTCATGCAAGTCATCGTATCCCATTTGCGTGTATCAATGTTCATGATATCAATCACTTGATTCTCTGTCCAGACTCGCTTATTTACAAACCGCAGTCATAAAGCTGGAATACTGCTGAGTGTGGTCTTAAACAGTAACAACTAAACCAACAAAAAAGGTTCCCATTGCCATTATTATTCAACAAGCTAATACAGGTATGCTAGTAATGCTTTCCGCTTTTCCGCACAGACAAACAAATCATCATTGGAAATGCAAAATATTTGCCACAAATACAACGTGATGAAAATCGAAAATTGCATAATGCAAAATGTCTATACAAAAGGTGAAATTCCAGAGATTGAAAGTACGCGGTATTCAAATCTGTCCAGCCAGCACAGGTGTAAACTGTCTCTCTCCAAGGCTGAGGAACACAGGCAGAGATGTGTTGTGAAAAGTCAGTCCAAGTCCCACATACTATCTAATTCTGAAATGTTTGATGTGATGTTAGTGCTTGAACATGTGCTTCAACACTAACTGAATTATCCAAACATGGGTAAAATGACTTTTATTCAATTTTTATTCAGCTTATTGACCAAACTAGGGAACACTCATTGCAAAATGACTGGGATTGGGTAGAGAGTCACCCATTCTTGGGGATAGCCCAAAACGTTTGCGTTATCCGAGTTGTCAGTTCCTTATATGATGCACAAGCTATGTATACAGTATAAATGTGTCCGTTTGCATGGGTGTCTTTGAAAGTGGGTGTTTAAGCGTGTGACAGAGTTTCCAGATGTAGGGACGGACCATACTTTTGTTTTTGTTTTTCATTGCTGATGTATGTTAAATGTTGATTTCCCTTGGGGTTTAAGTTACCTTTACGGTGGTGACTAATAAATCACTTGGGACTTTATTACACCTTATAGTTATGGTCTTTTATCTTAAACGTGGTAACGGATTAAAGGTTTTTTTCCAACGTCAGTGTCCTAACTAAAGTTCAAAAATCAGCGTCGCTATCCGTCTGTGCATATAGAAACGTGTTAATTAGCACGTGCTTTGACCCCATGTCTGTTAATATATGGGCTTCCACCATATCACCTAAGTTACAGATCACCTTTTGCTCAGATGACCTATTACTGCTTGAGCGAACCAAATTGCATATTCACATTTTGATGCAACATCACACATCGACGGTTTCGAGTGGGAAGTGACTGGTCCTGAGCAGCAAGCAGAAAGCCTTCTCTTTTACTTTTCAGGCCAACCAACTTTATCCAAGCAAAGGACTCTGCAGGGTTACTTACCTTCTCAACACACTGCACATAAACTCGATGCAGTGGTCGTTCTCCTCTCCTTGAAGATCTGAGTCTTGTCGGATTTGATATGGTACTTCGCTTGGGTGACACTCATTTCTGTAACGCCCAGCAGTACAGAACCATCAACAAAATCAACACCCAAATTAAGATTATGTCCCACATCCTTGGCTCGTTTACGAAAACTGTGGAGTGTCTTGTTTTCATCATGAGTCTTGACATGCTTCACAATAGGATCGTCGGACAAATAAATGTGTGCAAAAGTGCAGAAAACAATTCTTTCATGAAGAGCCTCCACATTAATCAAACCACACCCTCCCATCATAATTGGTAAATATAAGCGATTGAGGGAAAAGCTGTTTGCATGATTCTTCGTGTGAGGGTATCAATACCCTGAATTTCTTGTTTTGTCCAATCAACAACAGCAAAAGAAAACGAAGGGACGGGCACAGCATAAGTATCTGAACTCCAGATTTTCTTTCTGGGCAATCTGGAGTTTGTAACTAATGTGCATCCCTTAGTACGTATAGGCCTGACCTTCCACGAGAAGTTCAACAACGGAAGTAAACTTACTGATCCTCACTCTTCTACCTTGCCACGTTTCAGATTAAGAATATTTCATTTGTCGAGTCCAAAGGCGATATCATTAGGAAAGGACTCGACAAGCAGAATCTGTTTTTTTAGTGTAGATCCTCCATTGGAATTGAGTTCAAGGTCATCTATGTAAAGGAGGTGAGTAAGGGGTGTTGGGATTATTATTAATATTATTATTAGTAGTAGTATTATTATTATTTGTATTATTATTATTATTTCAGATATGTGCCAACCCTGCGCATCTCTTGAACGTGAATAAAGACAGTATAGCTCTGCTCCACACAGCTTTACCGTTCACGCAGACAGAAGCATCATCACAGGTCCAAAAAGGAATAAGGAGGTCAAGAAGGGGAAGAAGAAGATCCTCCAGGACATAGAGAAGAAAGTGTCAGCTCTCAGGAACACGCTCGGGGGACATCTGCTGGTTCACCTACACGGACAGAAGGAGGGAGACAGGTATCTGGAGTACTTCCACGAGTTTGTGGACAAAACTCTACAGGACTTGATTGAGTGTGGATCTTCCTATGTGGACACATATCGCACGACATGGTTGCATGAGACAATAGGCTTTGAAAACTATCAAGATGTTTTATTGATAGATGTAGCTCTCACGTGTGGAATTTCGACGGCAAATGTTAACACCAAGATATGCAATGACTTTGAAAAAACAAATCCGACAACTTTTAATTTAGTTTCCTTGCTGGCACATTCTCGATACGAGGCATCACATGGTGCACCTGCTTTAAAGGGAATTGATCAAGACAAGCTGCAGCTGTACCAAGAATCTCAGAATGTTGAACTGAAACTGTTCTGTCCAATGAATGACATCTCACATGTGCAGTATATTTGGGAAGATCTTAAACTCAAGGACAATATAACGTCTTTCTCTAAAGTTCCTGGTGGAGGATCGTTTTTTGTGGGAGTAGAGGAAAGAGAGGTCACGGAGAATGGTTACAAGACTAAAGTTCCCCATTTTGTCGGATTTCAGGTTGATAATCCAGAAGAACTTAAGGATGATCTGTCCAGGAAGGTAGAGGAGGAACTGTGTGTGTTATCTTTCACTGGTCATTTTTGTGACCCACCGTCTGATCTCGTCAAGATAGGAATCCATAGACTACCTGACGTGGGAAACAAGTGTGTACTGGAAGTAGCAGTGAGGTTCTTTGGTGGAATTGTCTTCTATGACAAACAGGGGCCAAGAATTTATGAAATACAGAAACATGGTATATTCAGAATGAAAAGGACTGAGTGGCTACGAAGAATCCGGCAGCTCCCTTCGTGGAAAGGGATACAAACAATGAGAAGGAGACAGAGAACGAAAACAATCTAAACACACAGATAAAAGATGTGTAGTGAATACAGTGACTGTTTCTTTTTTCATGAATGTTGTTATGCAAATATATTTAGCTATGCAGGGTACTTGACATTAAGTTGAAAAACATAGTGATTGGCTTGACACTTGGATTTCAAATATTTTAAGAGAATATAGGAAAAAGATTTCACTGTTTGTCTTGTGTCATTGGGGGAAGATTCCCTCAAAGAGCGCTATCCCACAGAAGTCACAATGTCATCCAACGAGAGTGAAGACTCGGATTTGTCCAGCACCTACAGCTCTGACGTGGAGGTGCAGCACTCCATCACCAGACCACGACCGACAGCAGGGGTCAAGTATCTGGACTTTGACGGTAGGGGTATATCTCAGACTGAATTCACTTCAGCAATACAAGTATCACTATCATCACGGTATCAACAAGTTTATTCTCCTGTAAGAGTGGAGGGGTTAACGTGTTAAAGCACGAAGACCCAGATTCAACTTGTCCCAGCGTGGTCACAATATCCATGGCATAAATCAAATTCAACACTGTTTGTGAATGTATAAGTTATACGCCAAATGGAGTGTTAGATAATATAGACTGTTTTATTCTCTTGCATTGATAACTTATAATATACTGAAGATTAACCATGCCCACTTGTGTGACTATTAATGTACAATTTACTCTGACATCACTGTCTTTGCTACACTTCCAGATATGGACTATTCCTATGCAGTATTTGAAACACCTGACAGTAAGTTAAGTTGATATATAGTGTGCATTGCAAAGACATAACAATGATTTTCAGTTATGTTATTGAACGTGGCCATTGATAAATACCAATGCATACGAAATCAATAGAGAAAAAACCCTCATATTTTTTTATATTAAATATATGAACACTAGTCGATACCAGTTAAACCTCCATGTCTTGCCGAGGATGGCGATATTTTATTTACCTTACAAAATCACGCTACTATGTTTTCAGCTTGTAGACAGTAGTAACTGGTGTAAAAATTACAGCTAACCAGTTCAGTAGCAGAACGATTGGTGATGTCATTTCGTTGTGAGATCAGAGCAACCAATGACGTCACATTGATCTGCTGAGCACTATGATGCAATGTCATAATAGCAATATTTCCTAGGAGACCCAAGTGATATATCCTGCGGTAGACAGCTTCAGGTGATAGATAATGTTATTACAATAGTATTACAACAGCTTGTCTGCGATTATTGCACAACTGAAATCAGGTGTAAATGAAGTGACCTGATGAAAAATGTCAACATTATTTCATTGCATTGTCTGTGTTACAGTTGCAGACTGCATTCATCCAATAGACGTGAAGCTATTTGTAAGGCCGGATATTTTAACATCCGTCAAATCCATACCTAATTTAAACTTCGTCTACATCAACTCCCCTGCGCTGACGTTCCTGGAGCCAGAGGTGGAGGTGCCAGCTCCACACAGCGTCATCTGCGACGCCTACATCTTTACAACAGACGGAGTGGTTCTCGTCCTGACGTTTGTTTCCAGAGATGAGCCTGACGCTGTTTTTTACAACTCCACACAGGCCCGGGCTCTGACTGTCGCTGTCAGGAGCAGAACTTACACAAACTTTCGTCCCGTGCATGGCGTCATATCGCCAGATATATACAAATGTTCTGGTAACTTCCTGTCCAGGATCCAGCAACTTCACAAAACTGCAGCGCATGTGTCTGTACATCAGTCCTTGACTTCCAGAGATGGGAAGATGGTTGACATATTCAGGACGATGACTCAGCACCAAAGGCCATCAAGAAAACTCACAGGTAGAATTTGACTCTCCATATCTGATTTACAAACAGTAGTGTTAATAGGTGTCTTCAACCTCAACAATACACTTTCCCTTTTAAAAGATATTGTTTTAGTTGTAACACATATTTTCCAGCGTTGATGATGCGTGTTAGATCTGGAATGTTTAATTAATCCCCGTCACAGAATCATTAAGGTTGATTTCAAAAGTGGTTATTCTTCGGCTATATCATTACAAGAATAAAAAGTAAATGTTATTTTTGTCTTTTGACACGTGATCCATTTTCCAAAAGGTTTCGTTTCGAAGCATGCATGGGTGCTGGATGTTAGATATGGAATGCTTAATCAATACTCGTCACCACAGTAATGAATGAAGGGAATAATCATGATAAGCAAGAGGACAATAAATTATCTGTTACACTTTGGATTTCAAAAGTGTTTATTCTGCAGTTTTGCTGTTATGAGTAGATACAGTCTCTGTATGTTATTTTACTTCATGTACTCTGTATGTTACTTCATGTATTCTGTGGTTGTATCAGTGCGAGTATGTGTATATGTTATTTTTTGTCTTCAGCTTTTGACAAATGAGCCATATGTTTCAGATTGGAAGAGATTATTTGTGAAGACAGCTGCCTACCAGGAAGTCCGAGACCAGCTACAACAACACAACCTGGTGATGCTGACTGGTGGTCTTGGGGAAGGTAAGACCACAATAGGACACATGCTGTGTTGTGACTACCAGCAACAAGGATACAACACAGTCTTCTACAGCAGATGGGAGCACTTCAACATGGATGTATTCCAGGCAACTAAACCTACACTGGTGGTGATTGATGACATGCCAGAGCACTGGGTATATTCAAACTTTGTCAGTGAGATACGCAAGAAAACTTATACCAACAAGCTTGTTTGTGTTCTTATTATATGCCTGACCTGCAAACGAGATACCTTCAATCGAAAGACGGACATAACACAGATAGGAAGACAGAACTGGGACAGAACAAAGCAGGAATATTCCCAGATGCTGCAGATGCAGACAGACATTCCATCGGACACACGGGAGGAGATCATAGCTAACCTTCCTTCATATGTCGGTTTCCCCAAGGTCATCAAACACTTCTCTCAACACAGACCTACCACAGATCCCATAACATTTTTCGCATCTCCTCACTCACATTTCAGTAAAGAAATAGAAAGATTACTTAGAATTGTTGATTATTCTGCTGCAGTAATATATATCTTGGTTTCGGGCAACAAATTGAAAGACAGCTATCGATATAAGTATGAAAGTGACTATGGTGTGAGAGAGGATCAGTCTCTCTTTCCCGAATTAAGAACAGATAATCTTCCTGACATGTTACACACATTGTGCGCCACCTATCTATGTCAGTCTGGCAAAAATATTAGTTTCACAGACCCTGTCATATATGACGCCTGTGTGTTTGTTGTTGACAACAAGTTTCCTGGAGTTCTCTGGAAAAACAGCAAAGTTATATGTGAGACTGGCAACAAGAAATCTCTCCCAGACATACCTTATAAAACCATCTTCATCTCCAGTCACAACACAGACATGTTACTGACAAAGCTGGTAGAAGACACAAGGAGAGGGAAGTTCAGACACACATTCAGTCACCCAGTTCTTAGCAGTGAGGACAACATAGACAGGTTCCTGACACAGCTCGAGGACAGTTTTATGGATGTTCTACAATCACAGGATACAGCTGATTCGTCCATGGGTTCAAGGAGCTTCTTGTACTGGGTCCTACAGTCTCGCAACGATTACCTGTGTCAGAAGGTGTTACAGAAACAGGAACTGTCACAGGTACATGTCAGTGAAGAACTAGCTTGTTGTATCAGACTACATGACACCAAGTCCTTCCTGTATCTACGGCAGCAGCTGCTGGGTCTACAGAGGGGAGATATCACCATTGCACCAGACTATACAGATGCTGATGGAAACTCTCTTCTTATGATGTCTGTGGGCAGGAATAATGCCAACATGGTCAACATCTTACTGAAACATGAGGCAGAGTGTCTGATCAAAAACAAAGTCGGACATTCTGCCCTCCATCTGGCCTCATTGAGGGGATATACAGATGTTGCCAAGTTACTGCTTCCCCACATGGAGGTCTGGAAGAATCTGCCAGGACAGGACTTGAGAACACCTGTCATGATGGCTGCACTGAAAGGTCATGGTCAGTTGTATGAGTATCTGGCAGATGAAAGGAAGTGTGACCTGACTGGTGTTGATGATAACGGTGATACTATCCTACATCTTGCATGTCAGGGAGGCAGTGTCCAGATTGTCAAACATCTGATATCCTGTAAGCTGTTTGACATCAACCACAGAGGCCATTATGGAAAGACACCTTTGATGATTGCAGCATGCAGAGGCCACAGAGATGTGTTTCAGTTACTTTTGTCAAAGAACTGTCACATCTCTCCGGTGGACTTCAGCATGTCTGAAACACTCTCTCATGGACATTTTGGTGACTGCCTGAACATGTCACAGTTTCTACGAGCAAGAGGACATGGCCTGAATAGGTTCATGTTGACACACAAGAAACATTATATCTCAAAATTGAAATCACACCTAGAGGAGAAAGGATCGAGCATGTTACTTGTGGATGTGAGTGGTCTGAGTCTGCTTCACACAGCAGCAGAAGCAGGGAACGTGGAGCTGGCAGAGTTCCTCCTGTCAAAGGGAAAGATTGACATCAACACGAGGGATGCCAGCGGGAGGACTCCAGTGATGTTAGCAGCAGCTGCAGGACACAGAATCATGTTTGAGTTTCTAACTAAAAAACAGTGTAAATTGTCAATAAAGGACACAAAGACACGTGGAGTTCTCCACTACGCCAGTCAAGGGGGAAACTTGGGTATTGTACAGGATGTGGTGTATCAGGATGTAAACGAGACAGACAGTTATAATAAAACACCTGTGTCGTATTGTGTAGAGAGAGGACATAAACACATTTTTGACACATTGTTGAACACAGGAGGAGATCTGTCAGTTGTAGACACTGACAAGAACACACTGCTACATCTGGCATCCAAGGGAGGTAACCAGGCTATAGTGGAGCATCTCCTGTCATCAGGGACGTTTGACATAAATGCTGTGAACAGAAACAGGAGAACACCCCTGTTGGTGGCAGCGTTCAGTGGACACACAGACATCTGTCAGCATCTGATTGTTGCTGGAGCTGATGTACACAGACAGGACTATGATGGGAATGATGTGGTACTTGTTGCAGCTCAGACAGGGAATCTCCAGCTGGCTGAGTGTGTTTTGTCTGTGAAGAAACGAGTTGACTTTGTACAGGACAAACGTGGGAAAACTGCAGCAATGTGGGCAGCGGAGAGAGGGGATGCTGACATGTTCACGCTGATGAGTAAAGGATGTGATCTCTCTGTAAAGGATGACAAACAAAACAGCATCCTTCATTTCGCCTGCACGGGAGGAGATTTAGATATAGTAGAATCTATTGTTGCACAAAACAAAGTTGACTTCAATGGGATAAATATATCTCAAGAAACACCAGTGATGAGGGCAGTGTTGGGGGGGCACAAGGCAGTGTTTGGCCTACTTGTGAGCAAAGGATGTGATCTGACAGTTAAGACTAAGTATGATGACAACATCCTTCATGCGGCTTGTGAGGGAGGCAATGTGCAGATTGTAGAATACATTGTCTCTCATAACAAAGTTGACATCAACAGTACAGGTCATGACAGAACACCAGTGATGAGTGCAGCGCTGAAGGGACACAAGGCAATGTTTGACCTACTTGTGAATAAAGGATGTGACCTGACAGTGAAAGATGAGTATGGTGACAACATCCTTTATGTGGCTTGTGAGGGAGGCAATGTACAGATTGTAGAATACATTGTCTCTCATAACATAGTTGACATCAACAGTGCAGATGATGTGGGCAGAACACCAGTGATGCTTGCAGTGTTGAAGGGTCACAAGGCAGTGTTTGACCTACTTGTGAGTAAAGGTTGTGACCTGACAGTGAAGGATACGTATGGTGACAACATCCTTCATAAGGCTTGGAAGGGAGGCAATGTAGAGATTGTAAAGTACATTGTCTCTCATAACATAGTTGACATCAACAGTGCAGATGATGTGGGCAGAACACCAGTGATGCTTGCAGTGTTGAAGGGTCACAAGGCAGTGTTTGACCTACTTGTGCGTAAAAGATGTGACCTGACAGTGCAGGATGAGGATGGTGACAACATCCTTCATGCGGCTTGTAATGGAGGCAATGTAGAGATTGTAGAATACATTGTCTGTCATAACATAGTTGACATCAACAGTGCAGGTAATATGCGCAGAACGCCAGTGATGCTGGCAGAGTTGAAGGGACACAAGGCAGTGTTTGACCTACTTGTGAGTAAAGGATGTGACCTGACAGTGAAGGATAAGGATGGTGACAACATCCTCCATAGGGCTTGTAAGAGAGGCAATGTAGAGATTGTAGAATACATTGTCTCTCATAACATAGTTGACATCAACAGCACAGATGATGTGCGCAGAACACCAGTGATGAGGGCAGCGTTGATGGGACACAAGGCAGTGTTTGACCTACTTGTGAGTAAAGGATGTGACCTGACAGTGAAGGATAAGGATGGTGACAACATCCTTCATAAGGCTTGTGAAGGAGGCAATGTAGAGATTGTAGAATACATTGTCTCTCATAACATAGTTGACATCAACAGCACAGATGATGTGCGCAGAACACCAGTGATGAGGGCAGCGTTGATGGGACACAAGGCAGTGTTTGACCTACTTGTGAGTAAAGGATGTGACCTGACAGTGAAGGATAAGGATGGTGACAACATCCTTCATGCGGCTTATGAGGGAGGCAATGTCCAGATTGTAGAGTGCATAGTCTGTCATGAAATAGTTGGCATCAACAGTGCAGGTAATATGGGCGGAACGCCAGTGATGCTGGCAGTGTGAAAGGGTCACAAGGCAGTGTTTGACCTACTTGTGAATAAAGGATGTGACCTGACAGTGAAGGATGAGTATGGTGACAACATCCTTCAAAAGGCTTGTGTTGGGGGCAGTGTAGAGATTGTAGAGTACATTGTCTCTCATAACATAGTTGACATCAACAGTGCAGGTTATGAGAGGAGAACACCAGTGATGCTGGCAGTGTTAAAGGGACAGAAGGCAGTGTTTGACCTACTTGTGAGTAAAGGGTGTGACCTGACAGTGAAGGATCAGTATGTTGACAACATCCTTCATGCGGCTTGTGATGCAGGCAATGTTCAGATTGTAGAGTACATTGTCTCTCATAACATAGTTGACATCAACAGTACATGTTGTGCCGGTACATCACTTGATATCGCAAAAAACAAAATGAACCATTCGTTGGTTAAGTTTCTGAGGCAATTTGGCGCAGTGTGAGAAGTGTGTCCATCTTGTCCGTGAAAGCCACCTCTGCCCTGACACTTGACATGCTTGTTCTCACCAATTTGTCCAAAGGGATGTCATCCGGTCCCCATGCTGACCATAATGAAGAAAACCTCTTGTGGTCAACTTTGTCCATGAAAATGAAATTTGGACCATTATTTGACCTTTTGTATTTCGACCTTGCTCAATAATGCTCTCCAATGTCGCACAGGTTCTGCAAACATCAACTCCTCAAAAAGACAAAACTTAACATGGATGGTGCCACAGCGGCGACACCTTACTTTGCTCTGGAGGAACCACATTTTATCAAGTGTATTGATGACCACTATTCAGCCATTTGTTTGTGTAAAGTATGATATATGATGCAACACATATGTAGATAGTAGTGGGACTCTCATATATGTTCCTTTTTTGTAACAAAATATATACTCACACGCAAAAGAAACGCAAGTCGAGTATGCAGTATACATGTTATTTATTTTCAACAGTAAAGAGAAGAAATAATAAGTGGGCAAGATTGCCAAAAAAATTTACTGAAGACAGTTTAAGGGATTCAAAGGCAGATGACATATATTTTTTTTTAAATGTTAAGGGCTTACACAGTTTCGGGTCAATACCCAAAAGTTCAGTCAATACCTGGTGTGGCCCCCATTAGCATTGATCATTGCCACACATCTCCTGTACATTGAGTGGATCAGACGATTTGTGAAGGCCCTAGGGATCCTCCTGCACACTTCCAGAGTAGCTGTGCGTAGTTCATCGACAGTTGTAGGGACTGGGCGTACATTGTGCAGACGCCTTTGAACCTCATCCCACAAGTGTTCGATGGGGTTCAGATCAGGGCTGAGGGCTGGCCACGGTAGAACACGGATGTTGTTTTGTTGCAGAATGGCCATGGTAGCTCTGGCAACATGGGGACGAGCGTTGTCCTGCTGGAAAATGTGTTGTTGATGTTGTGCAAAAAATGGAACAACGTGGGGTCTGATCACTAGGTCGATATACCGCTGAGCAGTGACGCCGTGTCCCCGACCTTGACCAACATTCAGAAAGCTCGTCGGCGACATCTGAGGTTGTTGGAACGGAGACGTCGGATCACAGTGTCCCGGCTAATGTGTCGATTATGTGTTCCTATGGTCTGTCCAGTTCTTTCACTTGCAGTTAGGAACGGATGTCGGTGGTGTTGATGGGTAATCTGCCGATCTCGTCGACGTGTGGTGACCCTAGGACGACCGCTCCGAGGAAGGTCATCTGTTGTCTGTGTAGCATTGCATCGATGCAGGAGATGGTAAATTGTGGTTATGGTAACGTTTAAATGACGGGCAACATCTTGGACAGACTCTCCAGCTTCCAAACGTCCGATAGCTGGTTTCTCTGAATTTGAGATAGGCGTGGCATTGTTAACCAAGGAGTGGAATGTCCAAAATCGGCCACAGTTTTATACCCAATACAGATCGTGACAGTTTGTGCATTTTCGATTTCGCGAGAAATGGGTGCATGATACCCACATCTTCATTGAAATGGTGTGTTTTGGCGATTCGTTTTTTTGTTGCGTTTTTACTCGGGGCTTCCAAAATGCATCCAAAAACATTGATAACACCATCAGGCTTAACTACATGCTAAAACTCGTATCAATGTATGGTTCAGTGTCTGTTACCTATTTGCTTAAAGCCACTTGCGTTTCTTTTGCGTGTGAGTATATTTAGATATTTGTTCTTTGACTCTGCACCTAAATTCTCTCAAAATGCATGTCCGATTTTTTGTGGTGTTACGTACATATTAATTTTGTATTCAAATTGTTTACCTTGCATTCACCTTTGCACTTTTATTAGGTCTTATTTTCTCTGGAAATGGATGTCCTGGTTCAGAAAACATCTGTTTTCTTTTGTTTTTGATGCAATCATATTTTCCGGCAATCAATAGAAATTAGTACTAGTTTCAAGTCCTCAGTATTTATGAAGGAAATATTAAAATGTCAAAGCTGACAGCGACTTGTGTCATGTGTCCATCTTTGGTGAGCTACGGTACTATGGACTGGTTTGATTGGGAATATATATAACAAAAGTACCTGTGACATTGAATATGATTTAATGCAAAGTATCATTTTTACTAAATCCGAAACAATTTCGATTTAAAACAGTTAAAAGACTCCTGAAAGTGTTCAAATGGTTTAATTTGCCATACTGACTTCAGAAAACGCGTGATTTCATATAAAAAACATGAACATGCCAAAATGTCAATTTACAAATCAATAGCGTGTGTGTCCACCTGTGGTTGCGATTCAAGCAACACACCTTCGTGTCATGGAATGGACCAGGCGTCGCACAAAGTCCTGTGGGATATCTGTCCATATCTGCTGGAGGATGTTTCGAAGTTCCTACAGTGTCTGTGGAACAGGTGGTTGACGTCGAAGGCGCCGATCCATCTCATCCCACATGTGAGAGATCAGGGGAGCGAGCCGGCAAGGGGAATGACATTCAAGTTGTTTTGTTAAAGAGAATCCTGAACAAGTCGAGCAATATGAGGCCGGGCGTTGTCATGTTGAAAGGTAATGCCTGGACCCTGACGACGCAAAAACAGTAGAACAATAGGGCCGATGATCTCGTCGCAGTAGCGCTGTTCATTGAGATTTCCCTCTACCACTATCAAACGGGTCCTCTGTCTTGCTGTAATCCCACCCAATACCATAATGCTGCCGCCCCCGAACCGGTCTTCTTCCATGGCACAATGATTGACGTAACGTTCACTTCGACGTTGGTACACTCGAATTCGTCAAACGCTGTGGCTTAGGTGAAAACGAGAATCGTCAGTGAATAGGACTTGTCCCCACTGCATGGCCGTCCAGCGTAAACGCTGTCTACACCACTGTAGATGTGCTTGAAGGTGGTTTCCTGTCAAAATGGTACGTCTGGCGGGTCTTCTGGCGACAATTACTGCACATCTGAGGCGGCGACGTACGGTTTGTGAAGATATTCGTCGAAGGCCAGGGATGCTTCTTGTAGTCACTGTTGCTGGCTGGAATCGATTTCGTAGGTGTGTTGTTTGAATCCAGATGGCTTGACGATTATTGGTTGCGCGTGGCCTGCCACTCCGAGGATGGTCTCTGACCGCATTCGTCTGTTGCCAAAGATGCCATAAACACCAAATGGTGTTTCTGTGGACGTTAAATTGTCTTGCAACATCACGTTGACTCGATCCTGTTTCAAGTATATCAAAGGCTCGCAGGCGTAATGTTGAATAATTGCGTAATTTTGTTGTTTTTCTGAGTGGCTGTTGTCAGTAGGATGCTAAACAATGCATATGGAATCCCGTTAACACACGTTTTTATACCCATTCTTGGGTTGTGAAATGCATGGAGCTTGCATAAAAGTCAACTTTTGCATGGAATGCATGCTTTTCTGTAGGAGCTGCGTTTTTTCTGACTTGATTCCATACATGTACTACAAGAATGAAAACCAAACTTTACTTCTTTGATAAATACACTAAAATATTGAATATTTGAATCCTCTGTTGGCAGTAACTGTATCTAACCAGTACGGAGTCCTGCAATTCAACCCACATGAATCATACACCTGGATAAACGTGGAGGTGACTGTACATTTCCACACATGACAAGAAGTATACATCCCGTTTTACTTTGTGTATCTTTTGTTACATTGTATATCTAATGTTATATTGTATATCCAGTGTTACTTTGTATATCTTTTGTTACATTGTATATCTAATGTTATATTGTATATCCAGTGTCACTGTGTATATCTTGTGTCACATTGTATATCACGTGTTATATTGTATATCCAGTGTTACTTTGTATGTCTTGTGTCACATTGTACATCACGTGTAATATTGTATATCCAGTGTTACTTTGTATGTCGTGTGTCACATTGTACATCACGTGTTACACAGTATATATCCCGTTACACGCTATGTAAGTTGTACAAAGTGACCCCCTTTACTGTAATGATGACACTTTTTTTCCAGTATTTCATGACATATTGTGTAACACTTCTGGTTGTTTGACAACCTTCAATAACTTCCTCTGTATCACAGCGGGCACGGGTGGCCAAGTTGTCTGAGACGCCGCTATTCGCTGTGCAGAGTTGCGTCCCCTGAGCACACCAGAAACCTATGATTGTGTGTTCGAATCCCGGTTCGCCCCGATTATGTTCCTAGGTTTGTCAGCAGCATACCCGTGCTCGTGGGTTTCGCCGAACTGGTAAACGTCGGAGACCTGCATCACTTTCGGGCTTCCCTCAAACGTGAAGCTGACACGCCTGATGAAACTGTTAAACGCGGTGTTAACCCAACTCACTCACTCACGCTTTGTATCATAGCATTTTGGGGTACACAGAAAGGTGGTTATGTATATATCTTGTGTTACATTGTATATCCAGTATTACATAGTATATCTTGTGTTACATTGTATAGTTTGTGTCATATTGTATATCTAGTGTTACATTGTATGTCTAGTGTCATATTGTATATCTTGTTACATTGTTTATCCTGTCACATTGTATTACGTGTTATGTTGTATAGCCTGTTACATACTATATACCCTGTTACATTGTATATACCCTGTTACATACAATATACCCTGTTACATTGTATATGCCCTGTTA